ATATATATTCATAATATAAATTTAATATCCGTTATACATATAAAAATTAAACCTGGATATGGATAATTTAAAAAAAATTGAATGGATAATCCATATCCATGTTATCCATGGATATATGGATAATATAGATATTGATAAAATCGTTTCCAAAGGAACGATATATTATCATTCCTTTAGAACGATTTCTTTTATTGTTCTTTTGGAACGTTACATAATCATTCCTTTAGAATGATTATTTTTTTCATTATTCTATCAGAACGATACATCATCATTCCTTTAGAATGATTATTTTTTATCGTTCTATCAGAACGATACATTATCGTTCCTTTAGAATGATTTATTTTATCGTTCTTTTGGAATGATACATTATCGTTTCTTTAGAACAATTATTTTTTCATATTCTTTTGGAACAATTTATTTTATCATTTTTTTGGAATGATTTTTTTTATCATTCTTTTGGAACAATACATCATCGTTCCAAAAAGAACAATTATTTTTTCATCGTTTTTTTATAACGATTCATTATCGTTCCTTAAGAATGATTTTTTTATCATTCTTTTGGAACGATTCAATTATCGTTTCTTAAGAACAATATTTTTTCACCATTCTTTTGGAACAATATTTTTTCATGATTATCTATGGATATAAGGATTATCCACGGATTATCCATACAAAATTATTTATCCATGGATATTATCCAAAGTAGTAAAACGAGTATCTGTAATCTATTATCAGTATGGATACATGGATTACGAATATACAGATCCAAATTCTATACTCATAAATTTCTTAGACTAGATACCTGACGCTTGTCACCTGAATCTATCGAAAAAATTAGAAATGCTCAGAATAATATTCTAGATGTTCAGCGTATTATGTGTAAAAAACATTGTATAGGATCAACAACATATCAAAAAATCATTGATAATCAAAGGTCTCCTGAACTGACTGAGGAATAGCGTAGAATATTAGAATCTGTTAATATCCCTGATCAGATTTCAGAAAATAAACAGGAATCTTTACAGTCCGGAGACGTGAAGCATGATAATTCCTCTTTTACTAATATAGAAGATGATAGGATCATTCATATGGATCATCCTGCAGATGATGAGAATAACGCAAATTCTCATATAAATTCTAATAGTCTGATTACATCAACTAGCGAAAAAAAGATAAGGTTGGTCAGAAAAAAAGGTTAGTATAAAACTGAAAGGTGAATCTTCTCCTTCAGTAGCTTTAGTGAAAAAAAATGAAAATATAGGTAGTCAATATTTGCTAAAACAATCTGATTCATCTAGACGGGAAGCTGAACTTAATGAATTAATAAGTATTACTGGAGACTTATTATGCATCCGATCTTTTCTCTGCAAGTTGAGAGTACCTTTTCGCAAGAATTTTACCTGCATTTAATGCTATGTCAAGCTATCTCTCAGTTTTCAAAAGGTACTTTTCAAGCTCTTCGCATTTTTTTAAACCCTTCTCACTAGTTGGATCAGAAGAGTTAGCGAATACCTGAGGTGATGATTCATGCTCCTCTTTTGGCAAATCCTTAACTACTGGAGCCTTGCTAAAGGTTGGGATAATATATGCCTTTCCATGTAACTTTATGCGAAACTGGTTTTTATTTGGCTTGGGGACGCCTTAAACCTTTCAAATATTTGACATACCAAAAATAGCATTGGTTCTGTTTAAGGTTGCTGGACGAAATCAAGAGTTTATATAGACGTCTAAATGGTAAAAGTAAAACTTGGTTAAATTATATTAAAACCTTATTAAAAAATCTGCGAAATTTGAAAAAAGGTAAAACTATATCAAAGCTTATAAAAATGGCGAAACTATATTAAACACTTAGTAAAATTTAGCGAAACTAAAGGTTTTACCGTTTTGCCAAATATAAAATGAGTTTAGACAAGCAACCTTAGTTCTGTTTCACCATTATCAATATTAACAAAATTTCCAATAACTGTGACTGTCTTATCTTCTTTATCTTTTAAGGTAACTGGCATGTCTGTATACTATCCTAATGAATCAGTGATATGCTTGGAATTGCCCTTTATAGCAAAATTAGATAGTTTATCAGCCTTCCATCCAAGCACCTTGATTGCTGAGTCATTTATACCACTAAATTCACTGCCGGAATCTAAAAAAGATTTGGAAATAGTTAAGTCATTTTATTAGCATTCAGATATTGTAAAGATGACAACCACTCATCTGATTCTTTCGATTCCTCCTCCTGAGTCTTTCAAGACAAGCACATTTTTCATATTGGTGATAAGAATTTAGACAATAGCTGATCATACGTTTCAGGTTGGCTAATTACTAGATCAGAAGAAGGGATAGCAGAGTCACCATGTAAGCTTTTATTTACTAGTGCTTGTTTTTTTTTCCGATGCATAATACCAATCATTATCTGCTTTGTCATAACTATCCCATCATTTTTCTTACCATCTGAATCGGGAGAAACTATTAGTGTGAGAGGCGTAAAATAAGACTGAGTGAAATTAGATCGAGCTACCAGTCTTTTTGAACAACTTCCTTTGCTATGGCCCATTTCCCCACAAATATTGCATTTACATATATTTAGTTTCTGAAATATATTAGCTAACTGATTTACATTATTTTGAGTTTCTTCAAGTCCTACTTCAATCCTATCAAATCTAGTAGAGTTATTGTTTCGTTGAGGATGGGATCTTTGAAAAGGCTTTATAGAATAATCTGAGTCTAAACCTTCCTTATTAAGTAGACCTACTTCTTTTAAGTATTCAGCTACATAATGATTCTTAAGACCTTCCTCTGTTTTCAATGTAGATGGTAGATCTTTCAGCTGTCTAATCGGTTTAACAGTTTGTAAAGTAGTTACTTGCTGAGCCATTTGCAATTGAAAATCAGATTTTTGCTTTTCTAATAAAGACTGGTATTCAGTTTTTTGCTGTGCTAGTGCATTCTGAATTGCTTTTTGCATATCTTCTAAAGATGTTCCTTATTGTTGCGGGGTTGAAATAGGTGAAGGTTCATATATTTGCCAAGATGCACAATGAGATACTAGTGAGTCTGATATGCTACCATCTCTTTTATGTCTTGCTATTCAGCGTAACTCTATCTCATAAAGCTTTTTAGCTAATTCATCCAATGGCAAATGTTCACTGATATCTTCAGCTTTTTCAAGTCATGGAAGAGGAAGAGCATCTAAAACTTTCTACGTAATTCTTCAGGTCTATAGTTAGCTCATCTACCTATTCGTAATATTTTTCTATACAATTCATCTATAGTCATGTCTCCCTTTCTGATTGTTTCATACATCAAATCCTGAAGCTCCTCTTCTACTATAGGGAAATGAGTTTTTAACCACCATATGGCTTGACCAAATCGAATATCAGCTACAACTACTGTATTTTCAGCATTAGCATTTGATGCATTTATAAGAGCATTAGTAGAATGGCCACCTGCTATATGCCAGTCTTCATTCCAAGCATCTTCTACAGCTCTTAACTTGACTATTGCATTTCCTGGTTGGCCGACAGTCTTATTTAATGCATTAGCTCCTATATGTACTGCAGTTCGCCCATTTACTGCAACTAAGTTGGCCTGCCCTGTATTATCGAATAAGTTAGTTAGCTCCCAATTCTGTTTTGTAGTAATCTCATCATCAAACTATTCTAAGGTCTTTCCTCTCATACAGGCTCTTAAATATCCTATCACATTATCTCTTCCTGTTAGAGGACCTGTTACATTATCATTTGGATCTATTCCCTGATTCTGCAAGTCTGGTCTAAGTTGCGCAAAAAAGTCTGGGATACTATCATTCCAGTCAAAATATGGATGAGGTATTCCTGCCATGTTTACTTGATTTGGTACTGAAATATTGCCTTACAGAAGCTGTATTATCAACCTGAAAGCCTTTACTAAAATATTAAGTAATTATGAGATGCTTGTAAAAAAGCCAACTACAGCTTTCTATTTACCGATGTAAAAAAATGGCTTGATAGGCAGGCAATTTATCAAATTTTTCATCCTTTACCAAAGTATGTACCTTACGCTAACTACTCTACAATTACGAAACTGAATTCTGTACACTAGTGCGATTTAATTGAAATACCATATGATGAAGATGTGGATATAAATTTGCTGGATAATAGACCAATATATTACTATGTGTTATTAGTTATAGACTGCGTGACTAGGTATAAAGATTTCATTTTTTTAACGTCAAAAGTAGTAAAGAAGTTGCAGAAGCTTTTAAGAGTCTATATGATAATCCTGACAATCCTCTCAACTGGCCTTGAAAACTACAATGTGATAAAGGTACTGAGTTTATAGGAAGCGTAACATTGATAATGGATAAATATAATGTTAATCTTCGAAGGATTATAGCATGTTTTAGTCATACAAGTATGGCTATAGTTAATAATTATGCTGGATCATTTGAGTTGAGAGTTTTTAAAAATCAGTATTCAATAGAGTTTCTCCTACCTACTGGTGAACATTGTAGGGAATGTAAACAATTTGCAAGAAGAATTGTTGACAATATGAATAATACCCCAACTCAGTTAATTGGAATGAGTATTAATGATGCCAAAAACTTGACCAGATATATTCCAAACTATCAGTAAAATATAATCACCCTATAGGCATTGATGAACCTCAACTACCAAAGGGTACTACTGTCTGATTCTTACTTGCTAAGGGAGAATGGGAAAATGATCCTTTCAAACAACGCAGGATAACAGATCCGATATGGTCCTCTAACCTACATAAAATCTGAAAAATTGTTGTTGGAAAGAATCCTCTGATACCTGTTTTATATTATTTAGATGATTCAGGATCTCAACGTCCCTTTGTAAGGAAATAATTAATGCATATTAAAGAAGAGCCAATGCTTCCTCCTATAGTTAAACCTTGATATAACGAACCTTGATATAGTGAATTTTTAAATCAAATATATTAAAATTACCTTACTATAGTGAACTAGCCAATTAAATTCTTTAAAAAATTCATTATGAGTTTATAATGAAGTTGATATCCAGATCCTAGAATTCGTTATATCAAGAGTTCACTGTAGGTGGATATTGAAAGGTAATCGAATGTGTACAAGGCGCTTTTTATAAAAGTCTCTAAGTCAACAACACAATAAGGAATTATAATAAGAATTACTTCTTTTTCATAGCATAATGCTCTCTTTTACCAATCACGTTAAATTTGCGCATTTATATTCATCTGCCTTTCTGGATGAAAAAAAGCATGATTTAGTAATGTTTGTTACCATTATATTCAAAGGCCAAACCTAGTTCTTCATTGTATCTATCTAGGTGTAAACCTTCTAACAATTTAGGTTTTCAGAGTGGAAATTTTTTATTTAATAAATCTTCGAATATATACTGATATGTTCTTTCTGGTAAATTAGGGCAAATATTACACTATCTATGATTCTGTTTCATATTTTTATATGGCGTTTCCCATTGATAGCCCCTTTTACATATCCATAAATAAATGTTATAATTACTAAATTACTACTAATACTAGCTAAGCACCTTCCTTCACATCTCTGGACATATGCTAAAGCTTTAGTGTCAATTTCGTCTTGCATTTTATAGGTGCAATAAAATATCACATATAGAAATTTGTGGTAGTGATCACCAGCTTCAGATTAATTTGATCGGAAGAATCAATCTGAATATATGCAAATCCAGAAAAGTAAAATTAAACTTGGTCACTACTATTGCATAAGTAAAAATAAGTATTATCAGTATTCTTAGCAGGAAGTGACAATTTCGGCTAAGGGTACTTGACAATATAGCTCAACAATCTTATCTATATATTCGCTCTTTTTATGTATTATTGATATCATCAAGTAGATCGATATCTTTTAACAATTTTTTCGTCTGTTTATAAAGATTTTGCCATTGTACATAAAATTTATTTCGTAAAATAGAAGACTTAATAAGACAGGGGAGAATTCTTGTAAGATTATTTATATTGTATTTGATTACTGCATGAACATTTGCAATTTCTTCTCCTGCTGTAATCCAATCATAATACAGAATATAAAGAACTGTATGAATACAGGTTATTTCTTGTTTACTCTAGTCTACCGATATTTTATAAAATTAAGATCTTTATGAAATTCCCTTTCTTTTTACTTTAAAATAACTCAAAATGCTTCGAAATTCCATTGATAATTCACAGTAAGACAGGAATATAGTATATCTTTAATCTTGAGATTATTAAAACTAATTCAAGCAGTTCAGAACAAACAAGTGGACGAGGCTCAGCATTTTTTTGTGCAAGTAGCATGATAGGTACAGTATATAGAGGAAATTAATATAGAAAATACCAAATCTTCAAAATAGTAATTTTAAGCGAATATGCTTACTGACAAAATACTAGGTTAGTGGTAATACCCAAAAGTAATCGATATAATAATAACCCAAAATAATCATACATAGGGGTACCCTAGATGTAGCAACTATAGGAGAAAGAGTTCTAGAAAAGCAGGGGAGCAAAGCTAGGATATATATTTGGTGGCCTCAAAGGTAGAATTATATATAGGAAGGTGAAAAGGCTCAGAAGAATATACGAAAAAAAGGTATGAAAGATCGATATAATAATAGCCCAAAGTAATGACCATAGGAATACGCCAAAATATCAACTATGCGAGAAAGAGTTCTAGGAATGTAAGGATGGAAAATAAAGTATAAATTTGGTAGGCCACTCAAGCAGAATTATATATAGGAAAGAAAAGAGAAATTATGCTTGAGTGGCCTACTGATGATAGGCAGGAAAGAGATCAGAAAGGCAGAAAAGTTCTGGAATATACACGAAAAAAGAGTATGAAAGCTGTGAAACCTGAACTAATTCAGCACTTCGTGTCTCATGCTCGGTATTTGAAAAATATAGCATACTTTTGGTGGGCTAGTGATAGTATCCAGAAGTAGGACTATACAAGAAAGAATTCTAGAAATGTAAGGGCGAAAACTAGAATATAAATTTGGTGGCCCCCAAAGGTAGAATTATATATAAAAAATAAGAAATTCTGCTTTTAGGGGTCACTGACGATAGGCAGGAAAGAGGTCAGAAAGGTAGAAAGGTTCAGGAGAATATACGAAAAAAGAGTATGAAAGCTGTGAAGTCTGAACTAATTCAGCATTTCATGTCTTATTCTCAGCATTTGAAAAATATAGCATACTTTTGGTGGGCTAGTGATAGTATCCAGAAGTAGGACTATATGAGAAAGAATTCTAGAAATGTAAGGGCGAAAACTAGAATATAAATTTGGTGGCCCCCAAAGGTAGAATTATATATAAAAAATAAGAAATTCTGCTTTTAGGGGTCACTGACGATAGGCAGGAAAGAGGTCAGAAAGGCGGAAAGTCTCAGGAGAATACACGAAAAAAGGGTATGAAAGATGTAAATTCTGAACCAATTCAGCACTTCATGTCTCATCCTCGGCAATCAAACAGGCCATAAAAGGTGGGATTATAAGAATGGCACAACATATCTTTAGCAAATAGATGAATTGCAAATTCAGCACTTCGTATCTCATCCAGTTATCAAGAAATAGCAATTGAGAGGAAAACAACTATGTGAGAGTATTCCGGCACCAGAACAGTATCATGTAACTATAACACAGTAAGATGCAGTATTAATTCACTTATTTTTGGCTAACACTATTCCACAATTCAGCCAGAACTTTGAATGTAATATTTTGACACCCAAGCTAGCATAAAACTGGCGAACTAATAGAAACTCTCTAGCTTCCTGCCAGTTCTATGACAGTTACAGGAGAGTTTTATGATACTACCAGAACGTTATCACAATGATATCACGACACCAAATTGGATCCTTAAATCACATGCTCAAAGAATCGATCAGAGTTATACCATAGAGCTGGCCAAAATTAATTGCAAATTCACTGCGCCACCAGTCACCTCTTTTTTTACACTATTTCAATATTTTAAAGGGCAACCAAATAGATGCAAAAAAAAGAAGCATCCTCAATATCTTAACAGGTCACCAAATAGGCCCAAAAGTGAAAAAACAAGCGAATAGCTCTTTAGAAACAAAAAAAGCGCAAAACATTGCAAACACATGAATAGTTCCTTGATAATAAAAAGAGGATAAAGCAATAAAATCAAACAAATATCTATAAGGCAATAAAAAACCACAAATAATAAAAATAAGAAGATAGTTATAAGGCAATAAAAAGGCCACAGAGTACTGAAAACAGTAATGAGGTAACTATATATAAAGTCGAAATAGATCATTTCAGATATCCGAAATGGTCGAAATAGTCGAAATCATTTCGACCATTGAATGCTAAGTCGCGAAATAGTCAAAATGATGTCATATCACATGATTTTCATATTAAGAAAAAACAATAAACAAAAAATATACGATCTCAGTCAATATCGTACCGATTCGTATGAAACAACTACCATTCGATTCCTTGCGACTTGACGGATCCAATGAGCTAACATTTATTGATTTCAGATTATCCAATCGCGAGATAATCACAATTGTATTATCGGCTGAAATTAAGAATCAATAAATTCTACTTTAAATAGAGGAGTCTGGATTTCGAAATACAATAGCTAATATCTCGAGATATGATGATCCAAAATTAATGAATGTTAGCTCATTGGATTCGTCTAGTCACGTGAAATTGAATGGTAGTTGTTTCATACGAATCAGTGCGATATTGATCGAAATTGTACATTTTTTGTTTTTTTTGTTTTTTCTATATATAAAAAATCATGTGATATGATGTAATTTCGACTATTTCGACTTTTAATTTCAACTTTGACCTCCAAAGTCGAAACATTTCGACTTTTAGGTTTTCA